TGTTCCGATTGCATAGCATCCCAAAGGACATCGTCTCTGACAGGGGACCTCAATTTACTCAATTTATTCTGGAAGGCATTCTGCAAGGTCTTGGGGGGCATCCTTACTTACATCTGGATATCACCCAGAAGCTAACAGCCAGGTGGAGAGAATAAACCAGGATCTGTTAACCTTCTTGAGAGCGTATGTCTCCACAACCCAAGACGACTGGTTACTGGGTCTCCTTTCTTCCATGGGCTGAGTAGACTCATATCTCCCTCTACACTTCTTCCACCAAGATGTCCCCCTTTCTTTGTTCACTCGGTTATCAACTTTCACTTTTCCCTGACACCATTCCTGAAACCGACGTCCCTGCAGTCAAAACATACTTCTCCTCCCTCATAAATTTTGGACAAAGGCTAGAACCGCACTGTTAGGAACCACCCGCAGACAATGGACCTCTGCCAGTAAACGCCGCCGACCCTTCCCCAGATTAAGACAAGGACAATTTTTTTGGCTATCCATGAAGAGCATTCCCCTCCGACAACCGTCCCACAAGCTGGGTCCTTGTTTCATAGGACCCTTCCGGATTCTCACCTGGATCACACCTGTCTCCTACCGTCTCGCACTTCCTCCCTCCCTTAAGATTCATCCTACTTTTCCACGTTTCCCTTTTGAAGACTTACCACAGATCCTTGCTTTCTAGACCAGAACCTTGTCCACCTCTTCCCTGACTTGTTGGTGGATCAACTACTTTCACGGTCAACAAAATCTTGGATGCCCGATGGTACAGAGGGTCTCGTCAATTCCTGGTTGACTAGGAGGGTTACGGTCCAGAGGAATGATCCTGGGTCCCGATGGGTGACATACTGTACCGAAGTCTTATCAATGACTTCCTTGGGACCCGTCCAGATCCTCCTAGTAGGGCGTCGGGAGCTGCCCACTTGGGTGGGGGGGGGGGTACTGTTACGCATTCTGCACGCACTCGCACTGTCACGCATTCCCAACACTCTCACAAACGCAGTCACATTCCCACGTGCACCCACTCAAACAGCTCATGCCGCAACTAATCTTCCTATTGCCTTTCACTTCCATCACTACTTTAACCCTCCTCTTTTCCCATACCATGGCTCACTATTTCAGATTCTCCCTGGAGCTCCCTAGTGCGCGTATCCTCCTTCTATTGCTTGTTCTATATCTTACTTCCTGTCTTTCGCTCAATTCTGATCACGTCCCTGCCTTTGCGTTTTTGGATATTTACCTCGCTGTGTTGTCTCCTCCCAGTTTTGACTATCACCTGCTTTTTGGATTTCAGATATTTGGACTTGTGTTTCTTTTTTGGTAGCCTTTACCATTTTAGATTTTCTACTGCTACTCGGGAAATAAGCCTAATTAAGCCCTGCACAGGGTCCTTATTTTCAGCATTCATAATTGCTAATACTATCCGCCCGACTTTGGAGCTATTTGAGAAATGTGGTGTAGCGTTGCCATAGCCGGCCCAGGGACGCCCATATAAAATGTAGTGTGCTCTCTGAAGGCACCAGTTCTCTAGGGTTTGGGCATTTACTGGGACAATTATTATTTGTAGCAGTAAATCAGAAAATTGATTCTTTTGATGGCTTTAGAATCCAACCATGCGATATAACTCAAACAGCGCACACACACAGGTACTAATACACGAGGATACATTTATTAATACATAGAATATGCATGTAAATCTAACAGATCTTATCGAGAGGGTTATCAGAATACAAAAGATATATATTCAGTCAGTTACAAAGTGTTACACATATCAAGAGGACATACGTCCAGTATATCATTCATTAAGACCGTTTCGTAAATGAACTTGGTTATAACTGCTACATTAGATACTCAAAACAAGTACATAACTCTTAGGAATTAAATTGGTATCAACTGGTTGGGATAACAATTCAATTCTCGAGCTGTAATGCATTGAAGTTGAATACTCATTCAATCTCTGGGGATTCAGATCTCCTGCGGGCTCTCTGGCTCCATGCCAGGCTGTGCTGTGCGGCTTGCAACGGTGCGCTGCAGATGCTCACTGACCGGCTAGTTAGTGTTGGTTTAGCTAGCCAGGCTTAGCTAAGTGCATCCCCCTTTGGGATCTGTCCCTTATCAAAGGAAACCTTAAATCAGCCTGCATGAATAGTTTCTCTGTGGCTGCACCACAGAGATGAACAGAGATGGGGCCTAATTTGGGAAAGCTCAGAACACTTAATTCTTTCTTATTAAGAAGCCTCGCTGCTACAGTGGCAAGGCAGATGTTTTATCAATAGCAGGTTTTAGTCTCTCAGATTACTGGGGACGAATCAGATGTCAAACTGAGGAAGGGACACAAGCCCCATGCCCCAGAAAGACAAAGGTGATAAAGGTAATAAAAATCAATTCAAAAGGGTGCAGTGTGTTTACACAAACTGTAACAAAGCTGTTTGTGAGAGCAAGGTTATTTTCTGCTCAGTTATGAGAGCTAAAGTACAGTCAGTTAGATTGGAAAAATTAACCTACTTTTGTGCAGTACACGACTTCTGCAAAGGTACCTTTTTATCTTGTGCAAACTCATCAAAGATGTATTTTTTATAATTCTGAAACTTAGACGATATTCCTCAGGGATTCATTCATAGTATAATCAAAACTACCCCCCCACCATGTCTTACCTCCTGCTGTTCCACACACTCGACTCCCATGAAGTCAGATCCACAGATATACCGAAACAGTAACGGACATGTCAATGAATGGCAATGAGTTTGTATACTGTATAAATATACTGTATATACAGTATGATACTATATGGTTTCAAAGCCACTACAGTACAGTATGTGTGAAATATTTTTCTTAATCAAAATTTAAAGTAAAATTTCTCGTTGCTGAAATTTGTATTAAGACAAAACATTGATTGTCTTTATGTGAATGTAAACCAGAAAGAGGCGCATCGCGTTCACACAAGCTATAATAATAAACTATCTTTACACATCCGGCTAGAAAAAATATAGCCAAAAGAATCGCTCTAAAGCAGTGGTTCTCAAACTGTGGTACTGGAGCGCCCCCAGGTGGTAAGCAAGATGACCCTGGAAATTTGTTGTGTGCACTGAAAAATTGGGAATTAAAAATTTAATAATTAAACATTATGAACCGCTTTGAACTGCCTGGGTCCAGCAGGCTACATTACAGTTCATGAGCATTCCATTGTTCATTACCACTATTACTTTTTTTATAAATCAAATGTCAAAATGTTTCCAAAACATCCACTTGTGACATTTTAGCTGCTTAGTTACATGATTCCATATTTATATTATTTTTTTTACAATAACAGCAAGTGTTGTTCTTACTGAGTATTCTTAGAAAAGGATCAAACATTATAACTTTTTTATGAAGTACAGGATATAAACTTTATGTTAGAACAAGCACGTTGAACCATAACCCACTGTCACCACATTAAGACTTTGATGCATAAAATATATGAAGAAGGTACTGTTGTGTACTTTTTTACAATTAGTTACCACTACAATCTACAGCTACCAAAATTTATCTTTGGATTTTCTTTATGTGGATGTAAACCTGAAAGAGGTACATGCTACAGTATAATAATAATAAACTATTTTTATATATCCAACTGAGCAATATTGCTTTTTTAAAATAAACCTACTTCTTAATTAGTTTAACATGCTGTAATAAATAGTTTAAAATTAATAAAAGTCTGGAAAAAGATTGTCCCTCAGCATTGACCAGAATTTGAAACCAGGTATTTTCTGGTGACAGTCCAAATACTCCACACTCCGCGTTAAACTTTCACTGCTCCACCTGGCGGTTTTTGCAAAGTAGTGCAGTCCCACAACTGAGTATTTCTAAAAAGCTTCAGTACCCAAAGACACTGAACTGCAGACTACTGCAGTATCCTCTGCGCATTCTGAATGGCTGGATCTGTACAAACAAATGGGAACAATTAGATAAAAGTGGAAAAGGGTGGGCCACCTGAAGTGGGGCAGTAAGGAAGCAATGTCAGTGCAAATACTTACTTTCCCCTCATAAGCAAGGGATAGGAGTCGCTTATACTCCTAGTTGAATCCTGAATACTCCCAATAAACCGGCTGCTGCAATGTAATGGGTACAAGTTCTCATTTAGAGAGTAGTCTTATTGACCAAACAGGATCAGATGGAAAAGTACTGTAAATTATATGAAATTATATTATGTGTTTTCTCATGAAGATATAGTGCTTGGTGAAGTGTGAGAAGGTTGTCATGTTCATTAAAGTGCAGATTGTGAACTGGGTGCTGGGGGTTAAGTCTGAGCTATGGTGTTAGCGAGTTAGTGATTTTAATGAATGTTGCAATGGGGTGGCATGGAGATAACTGGTGTGAATTCTCCATTGCTAACTGATTAAATTCTAAATTGAAGGGTGCAACTGGGTGAATACGAAAGCATCACAGTGTTGGGTATCTTTGTGCAGCTGAAGACAAAGATGGTTGTGCAGCCTACCCCAAAAGGGGACCTGCTAGATCTAGGATCCTAGAGGGGTGTCTAAAAAATGAAAGATCACTGGAAATGTGGAAAAACTAACGTGACCTGCTTGCATTGATGGATAATGGACATTAATATGAACAATAATGTGCTGGTGTTGTCACAGTTAGAAATATTTTTTTCACTTTATCAGAATGACAGTCTCAAGGTTTTAGAAGGAGACCTGCACATTTTAGAGTTGGCCTAGGAGGGATACCACATGAACACTGATCTTCCAATAACAAACTGATATTCTTTTTCTTTCTGAGACAAAGATCATATTCAGGGCTAGGACTGTGCATTGTTTATTGATTGTATCAGCTGTGAATTTACTGTGTATTAGTCAAGAAAAACCATATCTTGAATGAAAACTAAGGTCTGAGTTGTTATACATTTTTCAACAATTAGACTAGGAATTTCAAAGAAGCTCACTGCGAACAAGAGTATTAAGATATTATGTCCTCCATGTATGTCTCTGACAATAACTCTACTTTGCTATTTTTAGCCCTTGAAGATGAATTGGACTTTGCTTTAGGAAAACAAACCCCTGCATTCCTGAAAAAGTGTGTTTGCTATATCAGGAAAATTGCTAACTTTGACAGACATGCAAAACTTCCAGAAATGGGTCGCTACATGGATACAGTAACAGAGGGTGAGAAGATAATGCGCAACCAAGAAGCCTATGAGAAACTCATCAAACTCAGAGATGAATTTATTCCCACAATTGTTGCATCTTCCAACCTTAGAGTGTACACATCTGTCACTCATTGTGATATGAAACTTGGGTATTCTGAAGATGTGGAAAATCATTATGTTGAAGGCCTGTGTAAACAGTTTTATGAGGATATGGTGGACATTATCCAAGCTACAGTCCAACAGAACTTTGACACTGAAATGGACCCTCTTTATGATGAAGTACTGCAGCATTTATCTTTGTGCAAAACCTATGCGACATTTTTCGAGTACAGATGTGAAGCATTAAGTTTAATTCACAAGTACATTCTGCCTTCTAAGGCAGGACGAATTAATCCATTAATTGTTTATGGAGGACCTTGCACTGGAAAAACCTTACTGCTTGCTGAAGTGGCAAAACAGGTAAAATGTCTTATCTCTCATTAATAAGTTCATAATAATAAGTATATAGTAATAAGTTCATTAATAATATGCATGTACATACACATTGCAATTAATATATGAGGACAAGAATGAATTAGTATTTTTATGAATAACAAGAGTGTTAAAAAGTTTCAGTTTTTACAGTAATGTAAATGTCTTTGATCCATCAAAACAAAATGAATTTTAACATTAAGCAAAGCTTTTCTTTAGCATAGAATATTTAATATATGTTTAAATATATAATGAGATCAAATTAAATATATTGATTTAAATTCCCACAATCTCACAAGAAAAGGCTGTCTGGGGTTGAATGCTTATTGTTTATTTTGATGTGCCTGAAGATATGAAAAGTTGAAAATGGGAAGGCTGGTCATCTTGTTTAGTTTGGTATTTTGCAAATTGGCCTAATGATCTCATACAACAATTTCTTGAAAGACATAAGGATGTAATAGATTTCCCCATTCCCTACAAAACATTGGGTTAAAAAAGTATATTCAGTTGTTCAGTCCATTCCATTATAGATTCCCCTTCTTTCCTCTGGTTTGTGTTTTACTAAATTCTGAAGAATTCCATTGTGTGATTTTGTCAATGCCTTCAAAGGACTTGAATACTCAAACTAATCTACTGATCAGAACCAGAAAGATTCAATATATACGTACATTGGAACAGGTAAGTAGTTTATTCCATGCTGAAAAGAATAGAAAAGAAACACAACGTTTTGGCTCTGGAGCCTTCTTCAGGTCTGAGAAAGACATGGTAGACAGCAAAGATTAAATAGTACAGGAGAACGAAACCTGGAAAAGTAGAGGAGGAGGAAGAGGGGAGAGGCAGAGAGGCGACTCAAGATATGCAAGATGGAGAAAGGTGTGAAGTCAAAACCTGCATGAAAATAGAGAAGACTACATAAAAATAAGCCTGTCATTGAGAGAAGGGAGAAGATGTGAACCTAGATTTAGGATGAGTTTCATTTCTGTTTGCTTTCAGTTGTGGAAGTTGAGGAACTCTTCTTTGAGAAGAGAGAAACAGATCATTGTGATAAAAATAATAAAAAACTTTATTTTATATAGCGCCTTTAAAGGTGGCTTCTCAAAGTACTTTACAGAATGACAACAAAAATAAATAAAAAGAATACACAAGATAAAACACAATTACAATATACAGAGGAGACCATAGATGGTGGTACTAAGAAAAGCAGACGGGTGAAGAATGGAACCAGTTAAGTAAAGGCTTTTCTAAAGAAGAGGGTTTTGAATCTGGATTTGAAGAAGTTTAGAGGTGATTCTCTGATATCCTTGGGGTGAGAGTTCCAGAGCATAGGGGCATAACAGAAGAAGGCCCTTTCACCCATACAATGTAGATGGGCTTGGGGTACAATAAGGAGACCAGAGTTAGAAGAGCGAAGGTTGCGAGGTGGGGAGTGGGGCGATAATAGTTCAGACAGGTAAAGAGGTGCCAAGCCATTCAGAGCCTTATAGGTGAGCATGAGGATTTTAAAGTCTACACGTCATTTGACCGGAACCCACTTGCACTAGGCCTGGTCAGGATTCTGGCTGCTGAATTTTGGACATACTGCAGTTTGTTCAAAGTAGATTTAGATACTCCAGCGAGTAGAGCATTACAGTAGTCAATTTGAGAGAACACAAATGTGTTGATCAGCTTTTCAGCCACAGTTCGTGATAGCATAGGGCATAGTCTAGTGATATTTCTGAGGTGAAAATAAGATGTTTTGACAATATGCTGCACATGTGGGTCGAATGTTAAGCCAGAATCGAATATAACCCCAAGGTTTTTCAATTTAGATTGAAGCTCAAGTACAGAACCATCTACAGATAGGGTTACAGGACTGGCTTTATGAAGTTGATGGGGGGTGAAGGAAATGAAGGAAATTTTGAGTCATCCAAATTTTTATGTCAGAGATGCAAGTAGAATAGAGACAGCCACATCAATGTCAGGTTTGGTATGGATGTATATTTGAGTATTGTCAGCATAGAAATGAAAGCTGAGGCCATGTGATCTTAAAAGCTGACCAAGTGGAAACATGTAAATGCTGAAGAGCAAGGGGCCCAGTATTGAGCCCTGAGGAACACCAGACCTAACAATACCAATTTCAGACCTATACTCATTAAGAGAGACAAAGTGACAGCGATCAGTGAGGTAAGATTTGAACCATTTGAGAGCAGGCAGAAACTCCAAACACAGTCTCAAGACGAGAAAGTAAGATGTTATGCTCAACAGTGTCAAAAGCAGCACTGAGATCAAGACGGATGGGTGTAGAAAGAGAACCAGAATCAGAAGCTGTTAGAAAATTGTTAGTGACTTTGACCAGGGCAGTTTCTGTGCTGTAAAGTTGATGGAAGCCAGATTGGAGGGGTTCGAAAAAGTTGTTTGTCGTGAGATGGTTATGTAACTGTAGTGTGACAGCATGTTCTAGAATTTTTGCAAGAAAGGGTAAGTTGGAGATGGGCCGAAAATTGTTAAGGTTGTGGAGAGCCATGTTAGGCTTTTTTGGCATGGGGTAATGGCAGCAGTTCTGAGGACCGTTGGTACAATGCCAGTGCTCATGGATTCATGTATAATATTGAGGACAATGGGACAGAAAGAAGAGAAACAGGACTGAAATAAGGTGGTGGGAATGGGATCTAAGATAGATGTGGTGGGTTTCATGCATGTAACTAGTTTATTGAGGGATGCTGAGTCAAGAAGAGAGGAGCTGGAGTGAAGGGAACCAGAGAAGTTGGATGAGGAGGGAGGAGGTATGGAAATGATATGTGTAGTGTAGAGAATGTGGGCTTGGATAAATCTTTAATCTTAACAGCCCTAACATGTTCTCTGAAGCGGTCTCCTAGTCTTCTTCCGGTTTCCCCAACGTACATACCTGAGCATTTTTTGCAAGAGATCCAGTAAATTAAGTTGCTGGAGATACAGGATGTCATCTGGGTGATCCGGAATTGACCTAAGGGGCCCAGAATAAGTTCGTTATTGATGTGTATTTGCAGGTGATGCAGCGAGTTCTGTTGCAGGGAAAGGTGCCTGGTGGGGATGATTGCTGAGTGCAGTCGAGGGAGCTGTGACAAGAAATTTACGTAGATTGGGTGGTCGGCATTAAGAGATGATTGGGCAGCAGTTGGAATAAAGGGGACTGATGGAGGGATCATCCTGTAAAATAGAGCAGTTCTTAATGATGGTCCTGGGGATAGAAAGTGTGTTAGGGTGGTAGGGAAGCACCAAGGGAATGATGGAGTTGCACCAAGGAGTTGATGATCCGAGGGCTGTTTTTGGCCCGGGTGAGGGCCCTATCGATAACCTGGGTGGGGTATACTCTGTTGATGAAAAAAGAATGCATTTTGAGTGCTTGGTTCTGGAAATCCATGTCGTCACTGCAGTCAACGTAGCCTGGGGAACTGTGAAAAAGGGAGAGAGTTTTTGGTGTGAGTGGCGTGAAAAGAGCTGTACAGGAGATAGTTGTGTGAATCTGTGGGTTTGTAATAGACCGAGGTAGAGAGTTGTGGATGGCTAATAGATAAATATATGTCTAGAAATGGAAGAGTAGTGGAAGATATGTTAACTGTATATTTAAGGGATTGGTGAGAGTAAGTGAATTGATGCAGGAAGTGCTCTAGCTGGTCATTAGAACATGTAGCAGCACCGACGCAGTCTTTGATGTATTGCTTGTAGAGGTCAGGGAGAGAGCCAGTATAGGAAGCAAAAAAGCAGCATTCTACCCAGCCAAAAAAATATTGGCATATCTAGGTCCCATCCTGGTGCCCATGGCGACTCCACTAACCTGCTGATAAAAAAGGTTATTAAATTAGAATGCATTAAGTGTAAGAACCAATTCCACAAGACGCACTAGAATGTGGGTGGGTGGATCAAGCACTATGCGTTTGTCTAGCATGTTTCTTGAGGGCTGTGTAGAGAGATGTTATATCCATGGTAAAAATGTAGCATTCTGGACCCCGAAATTGGAAGTTATTGAAAAGATGGAGGGCATGGTTAGTATCCTTGATATATGAAGGAAGCATTTCAACCAGCGGTCTCATAAGGCTTTCGAGAAAAGCAGAAATGAGTATGGTCAGACAATTGCATGCTGAGACAATGGGGTGTCCAGGGGTGTCCAGGTGGATTTTGGGAAGGAGGTAGAATTGGGATACCTGGGGATGTTTGACGATGAGATGGTTCGCCTCCTTGGGGAGCTCCTGGTTGCTGATAAGAAGAGAGATAGTGGATACCACTTCCAAATTAATTGTTGTCCCATTCATTTACAAGATTAAGAATTCTTTAGCATTTGATAATGCCTTTATATTGACCTTTGACACATTTCCATACGGAACACAGAAAAAATCTTTTCCATTTAACATATTTTTATATGGCAGCTGGAAGTTGCTGAACTGACTGAATGGCAATGTTTGCCTCTCTAGTTGTATGTTTGTTATACCTGATGGCTCATGTGAAGGAAAATGTCATAGTGGCATCAGCTCACATTTCACTTTCAACTACAGGGGCACGTACTGTGTTAGTGCAATTTCATGCTACCTTGCACATTTAAAGCTTCCTATAAGGAAACAATCTAATAACTATTAAGTAAATTGTTAAAACACCCAGTACAGAATACCTTTATAATGATTTTAACTGATTAACTTGCTTATCTACTTAGATGTAATCTTCTAAATAGATTCTTGGTAACTTGAAAAAAGAAAGAAAGGATATGGCAATAGTAGTACAGTAGGCAGCCACAATAGTGGAACTGTGGTGCCCTTCTCTTTCTAGAGGAATGACTTGCTTGTACTGGTTCTACTTCTGCTTCCCCTGGAGCTACCCCAGGCTACCCGAGGTCATAACGCTACCTAAGTGGCATCTGGGCCACTACCAGTGCTATAATTCAGGGCTATAATTATAATTACAGCCCTTCACTAGCCAGGGCTATAATTCAGACATTTTGTCCTAATGTCTTCTCTACTGTGTTGTGTTTTTTCACCCTG